GTGGAATGTACTAAAAAAGGAAAAGAGTTCATCTATGGCGGAACGAAGTAAGTAATATTTTAGTAGTAAACACAAGTATTTTAACATAATTTTAATTTTTCTGTTCTTGCAACTACAAAAAAAAATGATAAAAATAAAAAATATATATATATTGAGTTAGGACCGAAAAAAATATTAATATTTGTTATTTAAATTAAGGACCATAATATACTAATATTTTTTTTATAGGCAGGTAAAATTTATACTCCTATTCCACCTAAATAGTCGATTTTTATTTAGGATTCTTTTATTTAAACATTTTTTTTTCTTTTAATTTACGACAAATATTTTTCTAATTATAGATTAATTAATTAATCAAGTACATTATAGTATTTAATTAATTAGAGCTACCCGTCAATAACTAATTTGGCTTTGCTTTGCTGTGACCAATTTGTTAGGCTGTAAAATACAAATAAATAAAAGAAAATAAAAAATAAAAATGATTATTTGAATGTTAAGATAATTGGATAATATATATTAGTATTAATTTAGATTCGATTCACTGTAGATCATGGCCAGTTATGATATGATCATCATCACTCTCCTCGGATTCTCCTAGGTAATATATACACATATAATATATATATATACAGAGAGAGATGTTAGTGCCACAACTAAAAGTCCGACTCTATTAATATTAAAAATATTCTTATATTTGTGTAATTTTCTGCATAAATGTTATTGTGATAGTATTATAAGACACTAATTAAAGTATTTTTGTTTTTTTCTTTAATTTTATATTTTCATATAATAATTAATATTCAAATATCAACATACAAAATATAAACAAGATCCTTAGAGCCGGACATAGATAGTGTTATTTATTTATTTTTTTATTATTACTTTTTTTTTTAAGGTGTGGTATGGCCGCATGGGTTGACAAGGAGTCACTATTCATATATGCATATGATATGGTATAATATAATATAATATAATTAATTAATTAATTAAGTCTCTACACACACTCAAAAGGGCAGCCACAATATAATATTTAATTAATTATGATTTAATTAAAAGAATAAATAAAGCTAGCCATGCACACACACTATAACTATACATATAGCTATATACAATAAGCATATATATATATATATTTATTTTATCTATATCATTTTGTCATTACAGAGAGAGAAATAGAGAGAGGGGTAATCAATCAATAATGAAAATAATTTTAAAACTCTCAATATCCTTAGATTTTTATTTTTTTTTTATTTTTTTATTTTTTGTGTTTTTAGGTATAATCAGTTTTGCTGAGTTTAGTTTGTAAACTATTAGATTCGATCGAAAATTTATTTAAAATAAAAAAAATAACGGGAGGTTTTCAAGTAATAAATAAATAAATATATACTCCCTCCGTTCCAGAACTATAGTCTTGGTTGTGTTTGGTACGAGATTTAAGGAATATTGATATTATATTGATAGTGAGTAAAAAGTATGGGTAAAAAACCTTTTTGCCCTTGTAAGTGTATTAGTATAAAAAATAGTGGCAATTGTGTAATAATAATGAAAAAGTAAAGGTAATTTTATAGTGATATGGTTATTTATGAAAATGAGACTATTGTTTTAAAACGGACAAAAATGATAAATAGAACTATTGTATCGAATCGGAGAGAGTATAAGAATAATGTAATGAGCGAGGAATTGTAATAAGGAAGAGAGAGAAATAAGAAAACAACAAGAGATAGGGTGAATATATGGAATCCCTGACAATATCCCAACTCCTGTCCTCATTCATATATATATATATATATATATAATGTAATAATAATAATAATAATGATATTGTCATGTAATAAAACTACAAAGAAAGAAAGAAACAACCAACCTCACTAGCAGAGGAAGAGGAAGAGGAAGAGGCAGCCATGCATTTATTTAATCGAATTATATTATTATTCACAACAAATTAATTAATTATTTATTATTATTATTATTTTTTTTTTACGATAATTTGAGAATTCGCCGCAGCTATTCATGCGATCTGGATAAACTTCCGACCAAACATAATACCTTGCAAATTAAGTTCGACAAAATAAATCATATTAGATGAAATATGTATGACAGATAGCCCTAAAAGCGGCCATTTGGGTGTGTTTCTTTTGATGATTTTGAAAAAAATTTGGTTTGAATTTGACATAAAAATAATATTTGATGAAATATTTTGTAAGAGAAAAAAATATACTTTTTCAAAAAATATTGAGTCGAAATAGTAAAATTTGAAAAAATTATGCTAAAACGCACCGTTATTATTACCACGTGAAGCAGTGACACGTCACTGCAACAAACCACCTACGCCTACCAACACAAATTCATTTAATTTATTAATAATAAATAATATATATATATATATATATATTTGTAGCAAAATTTACAATCCTCCCACAACTTGTAAGAAATTACATACTTACTTTTAAGAAAATATTTAATTTTGATGATGTTGATCCCTTTTAATATATATGTACCATATTTTGTAAGTATTCTTTTATTCCACACTTGTTATTTACCATGGCAAATATGTCAAAATAATTTGTTTTATTAGTTAGACAAAAAAAAAAAAAAAAAAAAAAAAAAAGGTAACGTTCAATTGGATGAAAGTCTCTTCGGAATCAATAGGATGCTTAGATGTGGAGATTTATGTATGTTAATACTCCTTCCGTCCATTCATAATGTATACAATTACTTTTGGCGCGGTATTTAAGAAATAATAATATTTTAATTATAGTGGGTAGTTAAAAGTAGTGTAATGACATTTTTGCCTTTGCTTTTTGGTGTAAAAGTAATAATGTGATGTAAAGTAGGGGTATTTGTGGAAAAAAGTAAGGCATTTAATGAAATGTTTACTTTGTAGTTGGACGTCCCAAAATAGAAATATGTATACTTTCTAGCTGGACGGAGGGAGTATATTATAAAGAGAAATTTGTCAATAATTTTTTTTGTGATTTTGAAACTTAGCGTAAGTATTTCATTTACTTTAAAAATTGCATGGTTTTCCCTTATATTTTAAAAAATATTGCATAAAACTCTACTGTGATTTTAAAACTCATAGTAAATCCCCACTTTATTTAAAAAAATTGCATGACACCCTCTTATAGTTTCTAAAATATTGCATGAAACTCTCCCGTCATACAAAACATACATATAGGAAATCATCTTCTCATCATACAAGGGATGTTCATGGAGGTGGGATTTCATGCAATATTTTCGAAAATATAAGAGGGTGCTATGCAATTTTTAAAGTACAATGAAACTTTACGCTGAATTTCAAAATTACAGGAGAGTTACGAGCAATTTTACCTATTATAAATGCAATATATGAACTGATTATACACGATAATAATTCTATGGCGACCAATATGGTCAAATTAGTACCGTGTTGATTTTGATCAAATTAGAAAATCATCACAAAACAAATAGTGTATATTATTTTATATAGAAACACATGTCGTGTGAGTTATATTTCAAATACTAATTATAATAACTCGGGCCTTGTTAGGCACAGCTCGACTTCCATAGGCCCGGGTATAGCTTGGTTCAATGGCTTGCCAGGCACAACCTGCAAATTTCAGGCCAATTTTTGGAGGCACAAAAATATATATATTTTTTTCTTATATATATCAAATTTAGATCGAATTTTTGGACCTATTTTTGTCTGCTCTAGTTCCATGTAATAGCTGAAAATACCACTAGATTATTACCAAGGAGCTCGTTGCCATGGATGTATATATATATATATATATTAATAATTAAAATTAATTTAATGCCCCTCAATTTTATCTTGTTTAACTACGTGACAAGAAAAGCGACAGGAGTGATGAGGTTTAGTTTACATGGCACCCACATCTTCAAAAAATGGTTATTAAAAATTAATAAATTACAAAATAAAATGAGAAAATTAAAAAAAATAATAATAATAATAAAAAGATCATAATTCATGTGTTGTTTTTTGTGTGTATTATATATCATAGGTAAGAATGTTGCAGCATGCACGACAAAGCCAATACTTCCAAAACTCCAGATATATTATTTATTTAAATTTATATATGTGAGTGTGGACACATATGGACATATCAATAAATAATTAAATTAAATTAAATTAACATAAGCCCAAATGACCAATTGCACAAGAATCCACCAAATGAGAGCTCTGCTGCCAATCTTCAATGGATTCTTCTGAATCATGATTCTTTTCATTTAATAATAATAATAATAATAATAATAATACTTTTGTGGGCCATATTTATTTTGGATTTATTCCCCACCCCTGAAAATGAAAATATAAATTAGGGCTCCAGAGTTTTTTTTCCAGATTTGCAATGCACGGCCTGAACTATCAAATATTACAATCGTAACCTTTTATTATTATTATTATTATTATTATTATTATTATTATAACATGCAACCATGTAGTAAAATTAGGAATGACAACTGGTCGGGTTCAACTAGACCTAAAATCCAACTTGAATATATATTATTGGATCTCAGATTCGATTTGACCCGGTTATATACGGATTCAAACGGACAAGCTATACACCGATAAAATCTAAAATATTTTTAAAATTCATAACAATTTAAATTAAAATTAGACCCGGCATATATTAATATATTTATGTATTATAAATATGTCAAATGCAGGTTGGATCTTACATCCACCCAGATCCATTATTATCCCTAAATAAAATCAATTATAATATACTCCTATTTTGTACTATGATTAATATGTAATGAGGGGCATGAATCATACTGATTTGACCGGATCAGGAATATGTCATAAGTGTGCCCAACATATAATTATACATATATCAGCATATTTATAATACATCATATATTATATTATAATTCAATATATGTTATTTTATAACAAAATATATGTTGAGATATATATGAACATATGATCACCGTTATAGCATATGCTGATCAATACAATATTGATTTGGCCGGATCAACACAATATCTGCATCGTGTAATGAAATTAAAATTAATTAATCATATATATAAATATATTCACAATTCCATCCATCATTGCTTTTCAACTCGATTTCGATGCTCTGTCCGTACAGAGAGAGAAATAGAAACCCCCAATAGAAAAAGTATTCGAACATAAAAATTGTTAAGACATTAACTAACGTGCGAGAACAAGTGTAACTAATTAATTAATTTATTATATATATATATATCTATATTTTATTTTTTAATACAATATAATATATAATTAATGATGGATGATCATATATATATATATATCACATGAGGGTTGTCTTGATCGATCGTCCTAGGTTGTTGTCGTTTCGTGGGAATTAAGGATCCAATGTGAGAAAGCTTGGAGTGTGTTCATGTCTGCCCTGTAATGTTTTTGGGTGAACTCGAGGAGGGCTGGCCAAGAAAAGTCGGGATATATTCGCGGATTGTCCAAGTCGACCAGCTCGCCCGGCGGCCTAACTACCTTGTCCTTGTTCGGACATAGAAAGAACGCTAGCGATTTCCGAGGACTCCGGCTGTTCACCACCGCCCGGTGCAGACAGCTTTTGTATCGCCCGTTCGATAGTGCCTGCAACACGACGATATTATTTAAATACAAAATATAAATCAAGTTTGTCTTCGAAACTAATAATATTATCTTCGTCCGACTCTAGGGATTCTATTTACTTCTTGTGTGTTGATTTTTTTAATATTAATTATTATATAAAAAACCGTAGTATAAATAAAGAGAAAATGACAAAAATACTTCTATTAGTGTCTTACAAGGAAGTGAACCTTTCTCGACAGAAGAGAAAAAGACAAAAAATTATACAAATATAAGGATATTTTCAATGATAACGTAAAAGATAAATGAGATTTTTAGATTCGGACGAAAAAAAATATAATTTTTTATTAAAATTATTATTTAAAGTAAAATATGTATATATATATATACCAGCTCAATCTCGGCTAATTTTGTCACTTTTCTTGACCAAACTAAAAAATAATTATATATTAATATAAATGTGGGATAATAAAATAAAGTGAAAGTATTATAGAAAATTTATTAAAAATTTGATAAAAAAAATAAAATAAAATTGTTAGTAGATAAAATATTACCAATAAATGAATTGTGCAAAAATTTTAATGAACAACTAAATAATAAAAAAAATCTGATTGATATAATTATAATAATAGACAAAGGAATATTTGTTTAATGAATAAGATATAAGACTTTTGTCCATTTATGAAAATGAAAATGTCGATGGCCCCACAATGCACGTGCAAGTACCGCTTACGCCATTGAAACAACAAAGCTTTAAATACTAAAATCACTTGAATTATCTCAATTTTATTTTAAAAATTTTTATAATTTATTTATTTACATACTATAAATTTTACTTTCTATCATTGCATACATAAAGTTTTTACTAATTAATAATATTTTATAAAATTAAAAAATATCGATTATATCATATAAAACTTTATATAAAAAACAAAATAGAGAAAAGACAAGAGAGTATTACCTACTAAACCAAAATAACATTTCTTTTTATTTTTTCTTTTAACTATATTTACAATAGTACTTCTTTTATATATAATATTTTGGAAAAAATTTTAAATATAGTTTATAAATTATTCTAAATAAAAAGACTAAAATACAAAAAAAAAAAAAAGAAAAAAAGAAAAGACAGCAGTGTTAGATATAGTTATTATAAGCAGGTATTGTAACAGAAACTAAAATATTAGCCTTTTGTATTTTTTTTATTATAAAAAAATAATAATTATTATTATTCATTTTTATTAAAATTCGTGTCCGATCAAATGAACACACATTTGTATAACGGAGAGATTATTATTTTTGTTCGACTCTAAGGTTTTGTTTACTTTTTGGATGTTGATTTTTTAATATTAATTATTATATGAAAACATAGTAGAAAATGACAAAAAAACAAAATAGTGTTTTATAATATTATTATAATGAAAAATATGTAAAAATCTATACAATTATAAAAATATTTTTAATATTAAACACAAAAGATAAACGAGACTCTTAAAACATTCGATATTATATTTTTTTTTAAAAATATTAATATTGATAAATAATATCAAAATTTTCAAAAATAGCGTATATTAACCGAAAACGATGTTACGTACCATGAAAGTGTCGCCAATGTTGACGACAAAGGCGTCGGAGTCGGGGCGGATGGAGAGCCACTCGCCGTCGACGAGGACCTGGAGTCCACCGACGGTGTCCTGGTGGAGGATGGTGAGTGACGTGGGATCGCAGTGGGGCCCGGTGCCCAATGTCTCCTCAGGACGATGACACCTCGGATAGTAATTAAGTCTCATTATGGATTCGTTTTCCTCGAAGAATTCCCTGAAATGGCGGCGCTCAACTCCTAGGCTTAATCCCAGGAGCTCCATTACTCCCAACGACACTCTGCTCATCGCGCTGCAATAATCCTGGTAGACCTTCCTGCGGTTATTAATTAGTTTTAATTAATGATGTCCGTCCCGTCATTAATGGTACGAGGTTGCTATTAATTGCTACCATTAATAACATGACCGTTGTGCCAGCCATAATTGGTTTGTAACTCTGTCTTTGGTTGTGATTTACAAAAGTTTGGAGGATTGGAGGTTTGTAACTGATATAAATTGGTATTAAGTGATAAATGTAAAATTAATTTGAAATAAATATTTAATTTGATTTTTTTTTTTAAAAAAAAATTGATAAATAGTAAAAATATGGGGAGATCTTCCAAAGGAACACCTTAAGATGACCGGGTTATGGACTCTTATGTTTTCGAAAATATGGAGGTAGAATATCTTTTTTGTTTTTTTTTTTTTTCTTATAATTTAGAAACTACAACCGTCTTACAAGGAATCCTTTAAAATTGTACGAGATTTCTCGTATTTTTAAAATTATGGCACAAAAACGCCTCTTTCTTTTTGTGATTTAGAAACTGCGCGATACTTTTTTGTGTATTAGAAAATAAATTATACAAAAACCCTTAAGAAATTGCGAATAATTCGCATTTTACAAAATATTTCAATAGATCAGAGGATTTTGTGTAATATTTTTTAAAATAAAATCTCACATAGTTCCCAAGGGTGTATTTGTTTGTGGGATTTTAGATTTAGATTTTGAATTTTTTAATAATAAAAAATTGAATTTGAATAGTTGTTTAATGTAATATAAATAGATATTTATACTATGTTTTTAATGGAAAATAAATTTTAGTATAATATAAAAAAAATATTATTATTTAATGTGATATTATTTAAAAAAAATTAAATAGTAAAAACCAAAGAAAAAAAAAAAAGGAGACAACCTAAATGATGTAGAATTTTCAAATTATAAGCAATTTTGTGATGACGTCATTGACATACCCTAAACGGAGGAAGTCCGGGCCCAAGGTCCTGGTGAAGTAATCCTGGACAATGTGGGAGTCGTCAGGCTTAGCGGAGTACTGAAACGACAGCGTTTCCTTCCATGGAAGCTTGGAGGAGAATCTGGCGGTGAAGCTGCTGGCGTAGCCGCAATGCTCGCCGAGCTTTCGCTCGGCTTTCCGCTTGGCGTCGAGGGGCTGTTCGAAGAAGTACTCCATGTACCGGTGGGCGTCGGCGATCAGCGCGGCGTCGACGCCGTGGTTCACCACCAGGAACACGCCGTGTTTACGGCAAGCCTCGCCGACGACGGCGGCGGCTGCGGGGAGGTCGCCGGAGAGGAAGGCGGACAAATCGACGGACGGGACCAGGAGCTCCCGGGACTGGCGACGGGGCTTCTCGTGGTCAGGCCAGACGAACTGCGGCGGTAACTCCGATTGCTTCTGCAGAAGAATTGGCGCGTCGAAGATTAGCGGATTTTGATCGGCGGCGGCGGCGGCGGAGGAGGCGGCGCGTGGTGGGGTGACGCGGGTGATGGTCATTGTTGCATGGGGGGGAGTGATGTGGGTGGGGTTTTGTAGGGGGGGGTGGGGGGGTGGGGATAGAGGAAAAGTTAAGGCCGTTTCAATGGTGAACAAAGGTGGGAATCTTTTTATAGTCCGTTTGATGGAAAGAACAAACCGAGTGGTGGGGTATTTTGCGGAGGAGGGCTTGCGGATTAGTCCTTTATGTTGGGGGTATTTGCAGGATGGTCCCTGCTGTTTGTTGTTTGTGGTGATGACAGATCATCAGCCGCTCACGATGGGTTTTTGGCGTTTCTTTTGTTCAAGGGACTGGGGATGATTTTGTAATTTCATTTTTGGTCCTCGAGATTTCTATTCCGAAGATATATTAATTTTAAATAGCTTTCCTTATTACTTTAAATATTTTTATTTAGGGTTTTGGAATTTTTTAAAAAAATTTTAAAAATAAATAAAATTGATCTAATATTTAAAAATGATTATGAATGCTAGCAAAAATTCAACAGAACATACTGAAAAAAACATATCTCATTTAGGTCAGCTTATTTATTTATCTAATTATATGTAATAAATTCGTTTATTGAATTATTACATTAGACAATTATTTTCTATTTAAAAATATTATAGAAAAAGTTATTTTCTATTCAAATTTCATTATTTCTAAAACAAACATAAAATACTTTCAAGTTACAAGTGTTTACTTATAAATTTTTTATTTTGAATAGTAAATTTTTAAATTAAAATAATGATTTGATATAAAATAAATATTTATTGGTGTGATATTTTAAATATAAAAAATGGACAAAACGTATGCAATAGACTATTTTAATTTGATTGTGAATTTCAAATCCAAAACTTATGTTTACTATTTTATTTTTAAAAACAATTATCAATTCAAATATATATTTTTTAATTCTATATATTGTATTAAACATAATTTTATATTTAAAATATCACATCAAACAACTATTTTAATAAATATTTTATTATTCCCAATCCCAAACCTAACTCCAAAACCTACACCCAAACAAACTTTATTTATTTATTGATTATTATTTTAAAATTGGTGTAGGCATGCAATGATAAGGTTTAGGGGGGGGAGGGTGGGCATGTGATGTCCCCCAACCTCTTGCACTTGAAGCTATTAAGGGTCGAATTTTAATTTAGGACAAATGCATGCAAGAAAAACCCATGACAATGCTACACAAGAGGTTCCACAAGATAAGTTTATCAATTCTTGTCTCTCAATAATAATTCATCACAAATGTATATATATATATGTATGTGTATATGTATATATATGTATATATGTATGTGTGTGTGTGTCGATACACTTTCCAAATATAGCCATGCTATTCTAACTTGCCCATTCTATCGATGTTTTTGTTTTCATTGTCGACGCCTTGTCTACATAAAATTATGCCAAATAATTGTGTTTGTGTGTGTTTTTGTATGTATATATGTGTGTGTGTGTCTTTTCAAATTTATTCTCTTTCCCCAACACCATAATTCATTGCATTGGACATATTGGAAGCTATTTTATTTATAGTTAATGAAAGAAAAGAACTAAATACATACAATCTTGAATTAAGTATCAAACTATAAGTAGATTCTCATAGTTGAACTTATTAGGTATAATATCAATGGAATGTCTAAACACACACACACACACACATATATATATATTATATGAATTTTTATACAAGTGATAATCTTTTTTCGAAATTTGTGGTAAAGAATTATTGAAAATGAAATTTATAGTAAAGAAAATTATATATATATTGATAATATGAGAAGTCTCAACTAATACTCCCTCCGTTCACTCATAAAGTATAAAATTACTTTTGGCGCAGTGTTTAAGAAATAATAGTATTTTAATTATAGTGGGTAGTTAAAAGTAGTGTAATGATATTCTTGCCCTTACTTTTTGGTGTAAAAGTAATGATATGATGTAAAGTAATGATATTTGTGGAAAAAAGTAAATTATTTAATGAAATGTTTACTTTGTAATTGGACGTCCAAAAAATAAAAATATGTATACTTTCTAGCTGGACGGAGGGAGTACTTTTTAAGTGCACGCGGAGCAAATTTTTGAGCTAGGCACAATAGCTTATAAATTATGCCAGTTGGGTAAGTTATACTACACAAGATATGTATGACAAACTCGATAAATTTATAATATTTGAATCCATAACCTTATAAGTTATAAATTTCATGGTGGTAGTACTTAGCCATACCAATCGGATGAATCATAATAGCCACAACAATTGGATAAGTCATAAATTCGTCTGTCACACCAAATTGACCACTCTTTACGGGGCAACTTTATAGTGTTTTTTTTTTTTTTTTTAACGTGGAATCCATAACTGCTGTCCGAAAGTGCGCACTGGATAAACCTCCGGCTGAACTTAATACCCTGAAAACTAGGTCCGACAAGAACTTTATAGTATCTTTGTGTATATATAAGTGAGTTTGGTGAGAAAAAATAAATCAAAATAGTACATAAAAAGTAGCACATTCTTCGGTATTTTGATTATATTCATTTTTTTAAAAGTCTAAGTTTGAGGAATTTTACAATGTTTTCTCGGACCAAACTTTGTTTTGTCTTATCAAACATTGAGAAGTGTTGTTTATAACCGAGTAGAAGATTTTTCTGTGTCGCTAGAGAGATAGAACAATGTGAGGGAGCTAATTTTTTTTTTTTTTTTTTTTTATTCGTAGTGAAAGAAAATAGAAAGAAGGGAAATGATTCTTTTTAAATTATCCATTCTTCTCTATAGGAATTGAAACTAATCCAACTTTAATACAAACTATCTTAGTTTATCATAGAAGATTAGTTGATAGTTTAAGTAAGCTAGAGCTTGAATTAGTGTCTTATTGTATTGTTGTATGCTATTTAATAAATATATTGTAGATCAAATTAGAGTAAGCAATATAATTTGCTTGTGTTTTATTTTTAACTTTGCTCGTATTCGATGCCTTAATGTTGTTTCACGATTGTTTAATATATATATTATCATGAGTTGTTTTATTTATCCATTGACGTTCAAATATTCCTCGGACAAATTTTTTGCTACCTCCCAACTCCAACAACCGATGCCTTAGGTCATCTACATTTGATTCGTTAGAATACAAAGTTGAATTCTCTACTTTGTTCCTAATTTTATATATATATATATATATTGAAATACAAACTATTGAAATAAGTCTAGAATACTTCAATTTTTTTTTAAATAAAGCTAGTAGATTTGAAGTATTCTACTATATTAAGAAATAATAGTATATAATTCTCTCTGTATCACATGAACTTTGATATATATATATATATATATTCCGTCTGTCTCATTTTAAAGTAACATTTTGAAATTTTGTAGCAAATTAAAAAATAATAATATTTTATTAATGGGTGAAAGTGTGTAAAATTTTTTAATATTTTGACTTTATATATAAATTAATTGTATGTATATAATATATTTGTGATTTAGATAAAAATTAATGATATTTTGGTATTCGTATATGTTTATTTTACTAAAATAGGAAAACAGTAGTTTTAAGTGAGACTAACAAAAATAATCAAAAGAATACTTTGAAATTTTAGACAAATGAAACATATATTTTATCAAAATTTTCTAAAGCGAACAACATTTTCATGAATTATAACAAAAATTAGAAGCAAAACCCTATCAGTATATGAACAAGAATAAACCCTCTATAGAGTGAGCAACCTTCATTTCTTCAGATGTTTGACACAATTTTTAAGAATATTTATAATTTTAAAAAATATCTATTTCTTCTCAAAGAAAAAAAAAAAAATATATTATATCAAAATTTTGACTTTTTATTATTTTTAAAAATTTTAAAAACTATTGCTTAACGGAGTCTTATTTTTGGCAGTAGAAATTTAATTTATCAGTACGTCATCTTTCTAAGAATTTCCAAGAGTTTGTTTTTTCATAATTCCGTAAAAATATATTTTTTTCAAAAAAATTAATATATTATACACATTTATTATTTTTATATTATTTACACAATTTTTTATGCTTTTTCAAACAATTTAACTAAACAAACAACAAATATGGATTTTATGGTTATTTTTCATTGTTCATTTTACAAGGCACGAGACCTCATACAATAATTTTGCATTGACAACTTTTAATCTCGAACAAAAAATCCTATGGAGAGATTTATGAATTTTTGTAGTGATGGGTTTTATTTTTTTTTAATAAGTTCGTACTTGTTTGAAAAGAAATAGATTAAAAAAAAAAAAGAGTGCCTAGTTGTTAGGAAAACATTATTGGTGAAGTTGTAGCCTAAAGTTGATCAAATTGAAATTAAATATTGAACACTATTATTATTATTATTATTATTATTATTATTATATAGATAGATAGGAAAATGGAAAAAAGCAAAAGAGTATTGGTCAAATCAAATCAAGATGTCAAGCTTGTTTCCCACCTAAAATTAAATTATAAAAAGATCATTTATTTCATCCAATTCACAAACCATTTGACAAAAACCTGTTTAGATAGTGGTTTTTGAAGTTTTTAAAAATTTAGAAATTTGAAAAAAAATAAAAAATTAGTATTTATTTTGATGTTTTTTTAGAGAAAAAATGTATTTAATGTAATAATTTTTGAAAAATAAATAGTACCAAATGAATGAAAACGTGTTTTGTAAAGAGAGCGCTTATATCACATTCTCCATCTTTATGTCAAGCATATTTACACTGCAGTTGATTTGTATTTTTATTTTGTATTTAGAAAATAATTAAATATAATATATTTTGCGGTCAAAAATATATTTTTAATTTAAAGATTATCATTATAGTATCAGAGTAATAGCGTCGTATATTTAAGTCATCCACCCTTATTCATCATCGTTCGCGTGCAAAATTAATATGTTACGTAAAACCATATTTTTTCTGTAACGTAAGATTTTTTTTTTTTTTTTTTTCATGTAACTCAACTTACTGGTATAGTTTATCGACTATTGGATTTATAATTTTAATTACCCAATATATGCCACTGTAATTTTCACATTATTGAAGAAAAAAATTGAA